CTCTCTCTCTCTCTCTCTCTCTCTCTCTCTCTCTCTCTCTCTCTCTCTCTCCCTCTCTCTCTCTCTCTCTCTCTCTCTCTCTCTGTGTCTGTGGCTACCATTCTGCGATGACCCATGCTCGGTTAATATGTGCTTGGCATTCTCTGTCTCGTGACCGCTATGAGGATACAGTAGATGCAAGTCTTTGTTTCCCCTCGTCTGAGAACGATCTCCTGTGTGCTCATCTACTGCACGTCATGTCATGTCTTCTCTGTAGAGAGGGGTGCGAAGTGCCATGCCTATGTGGATGCTGCGCCACAGTGCTTGTCATACTGGAAGCAGTGTTGCTTTCGACGTCTGTCTAGGCCACACCATTTAACACAGAGACTGTAACTGCAAGGATTGGATGAGGCGCTTCCGTAGGCTTGTCTGGACTGGATGCGCCGCTTCCGCAGGCTGAAGGCCAACTGGTCTTTTGTGGGGGCTGTGGGGGCGCAGTAGCCACCCACCACAGGCAGTACCTGCTGCTCCATTCAGCTTTTTGTGCAACCTGACTTTTGAGTGGCCACACCTTTTTTTGCGTCAGTCTCTGGCAGCCGGCTGTATCACTTAGCCTTCAGGAACTATCGTCCGATGTCTTCCCCCGACTAGAACTTACAGCCATTATCGCTACGGAGTCTGGACCAAGTTTAGTCAGATACGGCTATAGTGACGTTATGTTCTATTTGGGGAAAGATGGTAATGGGATCTTTTTTGTCTTTTTCTTTTGTCTCTCTTGCTTTTTTCCCTTCCTTCACCCTCCTTCCCTTCCCCTTCCCTGTCCTCTCATCCCGTGCAGAGCTGCTAAACGCATGGGAATGAGCAGCCGCGTTTACTGATCTAAGAATTGAACACGCAACCTTCCCCTTGCTCGGAGGACACCTAACCAATGGGCTAAGTAAACAGGCAAAGTATCATTGCCAACGGAGCTGCTGAAATGCGAAATGCGGATGGGTGTGTAGCACTGTGTACACATCCTCTGCTCAACAGACGACATTGCAACAGGCGTTTCACCAAAACATCATGACGAAGTATTGCATGAAAATGCTTCCAATTATCATGACTATGCGCTCAGCTGGGAAAAAATTGGGCTGTATGGTGATATAAGACACTCACCCACACACACAGACGTGCACAACCCCACAAGGACTATGAAAAGGGAGGTGAGGGCGAGGAGGAGCAGGAGGGTAAGGTGGAGTAACGACGAGGGCAACAGGGCGCCCTCCTGCGTGTTCTGTGCAGGAGAGAGAGAGAGAGAGAGAGAGAGAGAGAGAGAGAGAGAGAGAGAGAGATGGGGGCGTGTCATGTGGAATGCCCCCAGTATGAGGAGCAGTGCGAGGAGGAGGAGGGGGCCAAGGAGGAGGAGGCGGGCAAGGAGGAGAGGAGGGCAACGATAGAAATGAAGAGGAGGAGGAGGAAGACAATGATGATGACGACAAAGGGGGAGAGGGGGGACGAGGAGGGTTAGGAGGAGGCGTGTGGTGATGCCATGCTGACTGTGGAAAAATATTAAAATCCATGATTCTCTCTCCCTTGCCCTTCCTCTATAGTGTATTTACTATTTACGTTTGGCAAAGGTGTTATGTAGTATTTTGATGGATGTCCTTGGCTGTAATTGAACCCATTTCCCATTCTTTCTTTCCTCTTGGGGGCGGAAATGGGGTTCTATATTCTAATTCTCTAAGCCTTCTCTCACGTGGATTTACAAAATGGTAAATCGTGGTTTCTTGCTGCAGATTCTGGATATGGATTTGACGCCTGCCACTGGACTGAAAGGGATGTCTGCACGGGGAGGTGAGTGTAAATTCTTCGTCGCCTCTGACCTTGAATCCCAATGACAGGCGAAATATATATATATCGTCACAAATAGATATATATATATATATATATATCTGCCTACGGTTTACCGGGCAGTTCTATTTGTGACGATATATGAGTCGGTGAAACTCCGACGAAACAGTTTGTCACAGCCCCTCGTTTGTTGTCCT